AGATAAGATAAATATTTAAAAAAATTATTCGAGTTTTAAAAATATTATTATAAATATTATTACATCATATATGATATACAAAATTTCATACATGATATTAAAATTTAGTTGATGTTTTTTATACAATACAAATATTTTTATATAATATTTTAAACATTGTAATTTTAAACATTTTTCAAATGAGTAATTATTTGCAAAAATTTAATATAAAAAATAATATTTTTATTATATTATTTCTTCATTTCTATAATATTAAGGAAGTATTATGAAATTTGTTATTATATACTATAATTTAATAATATTAATTATATTATAATTATATTATAATATTAAATTAATAGTTATAATTAAATCGCGTTATATAGTTTAATTTCAATTTATTTTTTAAGAGTATTAGCTATACTGTATTAATTATATTTCTTTTGTAAATGGCTGCTGGCAGATATTGATGTAGACAGTTCATGTAAGTAATGAAGCAGCTGATTTGAAAATTAATTTATCTTTCTGCTGTTTATTAGTCTTATACACATATTAACTTTCTTTAGAAGTTCGAGAAAATATAAACAAATTAAACTAGTAAACTAGTAAATATTTTTGTCTTTGCTATTTGAGAAAATTCGTATAATATTATTTGCATGATCATATAAAATATTTTTGTATATTTTATAATTTGAAATATAGAAATTTTAAATATAACAATATATTTAAATTTAACTTAGAAATATAATATTTAAATATTTTTGCATGAATGATTCAAAAAATAATAACAATTATTATATTTTCAAATTTAATTGTTTTAATTTTTTATTAACATTATTTATTATTATAATTGTTTGTTAGTTTTGCAATTAAAAATTTTATTATTCCTTTGGACTTTTTAATGAATATGATATACAAATAATAAGTATTAATATTAATATTATATATGTAATTTATTTTATGATTTTATGTTATTTAGGGGATGTACTAAGTATGATGTTTAGAAGAATTAGTTCTCAATTTAAACAAGCGAAAACATTTTTTCAATCTATACTAAGTTTTACACCTCAACAATCTAATCAGCGTACTGACTTAGTACGAGATAAATTTGGATTACATAAAATGATCGTCCTTGTTACATCAGCAGGAAAAGTATAGAAATAAATATTATATATTAATTGATTAACAATATAATTTAAAATTGTAATCAATATTAATTCTTAATCTTATTTATAGTTATATGGTATTGAAACTAGAAAAGGTGAAATTATTTGGCAATTAAGAGTGCCAAGTATTCGTGGTTTTTCTAAAAGATCTGATGCAATAATTTTATATGTACAACGTGGCAGCAGACATTTTCCATATCCTCCACAATGTGCATTATTAGCAGAGGACAAAGTATATGTTAAAAAAAAATTATGTGACATTATATATATGTATATATATATATATATATAATATTATATTTTGTAATAAAATATTTTTTAAATATTTTAGAAAACAGGAGAAGGAATTATATATACATTTAATCCAATTACTGGTCAACCATTGGATGGTTTAGTAAAATTAGGATATAGAATAAAACAATCCATGTTACTTCACGTAACAACGGATGATTTTTTGCGAGGCATACTTATTTTTGATATGCGAGATAAAGCTTATGTATATCCTGAAGGTGCAACTGCAATTGCTGCATCACTTGCTAAAAATACATATATATTTACTGCTAATCAAGCAACTGGAATGTTATCTGGATATTCTTTATCATATAGCACAGCTCAAGTATGTATATAAAATCAAATTATTATTTAATTATTAATTTATATAATTTATAATTTTATCTTTCAGGAACTTATTTCTCATAAAGTATGGGAATTATTGCTTTCGCCAAAAAACCAAAGAATAACGCATGTCGTATCAAAAAATCCAATAGAACGTGTTCATTCCCAGGGTAGAGTTCTAAGTGATAGATCAGTTTTATATAAGTACATTAATCCTAATTTAGTCGCTGTTGTAACTGAGGTGCTGGACACACTCATAAAAGTATATTATTTATATTATTATTATTATTATATTATAATTAAGTTTACATTGGATTTATATATATATATATATATTAGTTTTATATATTATATTTAATTTTTTAATAACCCGTGATTTACAGATACGCTTAATCTATATTTATTGGATGCAGTATCTGGAGCAATGATATTTTCTATTATGCACAAAAGAGTTCGTGGTCCAGTTCACGTTGTGCATTCAGAAAACTGGATAGTGTATAGTTATTTTAATGAAAAAAGTCGTAGGACAGAAATTGCTAGTTTAGAATTATATGAAGGAAAAATACAAAGTAATACCACAGGTAATATAACTTGTAACTTTTATTACAACTATAATTGATTCCTATTTGTTTCTATAATAATTCACAATAATTATTATATATTCTAGTGTTTTCATCTTTAGCTACAACTAAGTTGCCAATTGTTGAAAGGCAAGCCTTTATTTTCCCCGCAGCAATAGAATCAATGCGGGAAACTATTACAGAAAAAGGTATCACAAGCAAACACATTATAGGTAAGTGTAAGTAAGAATTACATTATTATTATTTAAATTTATTATTAATATATTATTAATAATATATTATTACATATGCAAATAATAATTTTCATTTATATTTGTATAAATAAATCTTTAACTTTGCGAATAAAAAAATGATTGATTAATAAATGAATGATTAATAAGATGGTTTTTATATTTATTAGTGGCTCTAGCTAATGGCGGAATATTGGAATTACCATGGATGATGGTAGATCCACGACGGCCTATTAATCCTGAAATACGTGAAGAAGGTGTGATACCATACATGCCAGAGATACCTATCCATATGGATGCAATAATTAACTATAATCAAAGCGTCTTTAGGGTATCTGGTATTCATACTAGTCCCAGTGGCCTTGAAAGTACTTGCTTAGTTTTTGTACATGGTCTTGGTAAGTACACTTAAGTTTAGTATTATATCATAATATTAAAAAAAATATATTATATTCTTATTTATTAATACCTAAAAAACAATATTTTTATTTCTTTATTAATAATATAATAAAATTATAAAATTTATGCATATTAGAAGTATTTATGCATATAATACGACTTATCGTATTCGTTCGCAGACTTATTCTACACACGCGTGGCACCATCTAAAACATTTGACGTTTTAAAAGAAGATTTCGATTATTATCTTATTGTGATAGTATTGGCAGCGCTTTTAATTTCATCCTACATCACAAAGAAATTAGCATCCCAGAAAGTGCAAAAGCAAGCATGGAAATGATATTTCATTTTTCTAAAAAATCAATGCATTACATTCTTAAGTATTTGTTCACTAAAAGCAAAAAATTTTGCTAATAATAATTTGTAAAAAAAAATACTGTTTTATAAAAAGCCAATGTTACTGCAAAGTAAATGTCAATAATTTATTATCTTACCTAAAATATCTTAATATATATAATTAATTTAATATATATTATTAATATATTAAATAATTTATATATATATATTATTATCATTAATATATATATTATTTATCCTTTTATTAGTACAGAACGCACACAATGAAAAATATATTCCTGAATATTTAAAAGTGTGCTAATCATTGTATAACAACAGTGGACCAGGATCACTAATTATTAGATGATAACAACTGATAACATGCTCAAAATATAGTTATTTTTTTGTTAAAAGAAAATAAAAATATCATTACATGTTTTACAATATATATATATATATATATATACCTATTTTAATAGAAAATTAAGATTAAAAAATATCAAAAAATATTTAAAAAATTATTATTTTAATTATATTTTAAAACTTATAGATAAATTAAAATTTTCGAATTTTTTTTAGAAATTTTTTATTAAAAAATTAAAAAATGATTTAAATTGAATAACGAATTATTTAAAAATTATTAGAAATTTTTCACAATTAAATTTTATAATATATATTTTATTCTAAAAATATTCTAAAACATTTTTTAGCCTTTTTTTTGCAAGGGTTAAAATATTACAATATTATATATAAGCATATAATAAAAAAATACACATATTAAAAATAATTCGAAAAGAAAACATAAATCTGTAAATATAGCAATACATAAAATTCTTCTTATAAAATTCATTTCAATTTTTATTATATTCATATTAATTTATTATTATTTATAGAATGAAACATGAATTATAAAATTATATAGCAAAATAAAGTAAAATTTTTATGTTAATTTCTGCTAGGCATTTTCGTAATATATTTTTTGAAGTAATTTATGTTAAGTTGCATTTATTAAAAAATGTATAAGAAGTATTCAAAATCCTTAAATATTTTAATTTCTAAGTTTTTACATTTTACGTTTTTTACATTTATATAAGTATTTTTCAATTTATTCAAATAAAATTTATTATTATTCATAAATTTTTAAATTTACATTGGTATCACAATTTTTTTATTAATTTAATATTTTAAAAAATGTATAATAAAAATAAAAAAATTAATTTTCATCAATTAACAAATGAAGATCAAGTTACATTATATAATAAAAAATGTAAGAAACAAAATGTATGTCATAGTACAAAATAATTTAATTTGTTATATATTTATAATTTATAATTAAATAAAGAGCTGTATAATCTGTGAATAGAACATATAAAAACATGTTTTATATAGAATAATTATTTGCTTTGTAGATAAATGTAAAATTTTAAATAAACAGAAGTTATTGTACAAATAAGAATGTAAACAATATAAAAATTGTAAAATGTCAAATATCGTAATTGAATAAATATTGTGTACAAATAAAAATATTTGAAAAATCATATAGGTTTTATTTATTTCATAATACAAATTTACACATTATACAATATATTTAAATATTTTTACAGTTTGTTGATTTTTTATTATAAATATTTTATCAATTTAAAAAATACTTAATCATATTTAATACTATAATATTTTATCAATTTAAAAAATACTTAATCACATTTAATACTCTTATTTTGTATATAATTTATAATAATTTGTACATTTTTGATATATTCATTTGATGAATTGTTTTCAATAATCTACAAAATAGAAAAACTATATGTAATAATTTAAATTATGATTCTTTTTTTAATATATATATATATATATGTATATTATTTTATTACCATTAAATCTTTAATATCAAATGTTGCATCTGAAATAATTCTTGTTATTTTTGAATTAAAAATACTAAGACATTTTACCCAAACAATATCACTATTATAATCTGCAACATCTTTATATAGTTTTACACAATATGCCTATGAATATAAAATAATTAATTATAAATAAATGAAAAAGAATAACATACTTAAAAATATTTTTTAATTTGATATTTACTTGTAATGTAGGATTTTGATGTTTATTAAGATATGGTTCTGCAATGCTTAAAACATTTAATGTTTCTCGTTCATGAAGACATAAATTTTTTGTTATTTGACCTAAAGTAGAGAGTAGTTCTCTTTGCAATTTATAAATTTGGGTAAATTTATAAATACTATCAGAACTTTTATTATAGCTCTCTTTAGACGAATCGCACAAAAATTTTGAAAGTGCAGGTAATACTTGCCTAAAAATAATCATTTTAATAACATAAAAAAATGTAGAATATAAAACACATACTTAAGAGTTCTAGATCGTATAAAATCTTTTGAAACATATGAAAGCACATTTAATAATTGCCATGCTCGATTGATTATTAATATATTTTCATCATAGAATCTATCTACTAATGGATGCCAAAGTAAATGCACAATAGGTAATAGTTGATTTTCCCAATTTGCTAAAATTTCAAGACCCTTTTGTAATGTTAACATTGCAATTAATGAGTTTTGTATTTCTTTAGATGGTAAGAAATGTAAACAATGTTTCATTATATCTTCAATCATTTTAATATAAAATGGTATATTTTTATCTTTTCCTATAATTTTTATATATATTATTTATAAAAAAAAATTTATTGTTAATTTTAATGTAATATATATTTACCTTCTTGTTCCATAAAATTTGTTTCATATTCTTTTTCCTCTATATTTTCTTGTAATTTTTCTTTTTCTTCCTCTTTCATTTCTTTAAATTCACAAGACTGTTCTATATTATCTATATCTTCATCAATTTTTTTTGCTTCATAATACTCTAAGAAAGATTGAATAATTTTGGATGATTCATTTTTAATATCTATATTTATCTCAGGTATTGTTGTTGCATGTTTAGAACTTGCTAAATTTTTTATACATATTGTAAATGTGTAAAAAACTTTTAAAAAAGCATAAGAGTTTTTTTTTGAAAACTATTATTTAATTGTAATAGTACGTCTTCAACAATTTCTTTCAAACAAGGTAACACATCCATTGTACTATATTTCATGATAACTCCAATAACATCAAGTACATCAGGATTGCGTTCTATTCTTCGTAATTTTATACTAATATGATATGACAAGTAATCAATATTTGCACGTAAAAGATCTCCTATTGTATTGTTTTGTTGAGATTTTGCAATTTGTTCAAGAGTTTGGGTTCCAACAAAACTGATTAGATTATGTGCACTACCTGGAAATATATGAAAAGAAAATTTTTTTATATAAATAATTTATTATTTCTTATTTTATGATTTATATTATTTATTATAAAAAATCATAATCACCTGCTCTTTCTATAACGAGGTACAATGTTTTAAGAAGAAATCTATCATAATTGTATTTTAAGTTTTGAGCTATTAATCCTAAACCTTCTAATAATAAACAACATTGTACTACATTATTCTGTGCAACTCGTAGAGGTGTATCATCATTAATTTCAATAGTTGAATACCAAAATTCAGGATTTATGTAGAATTCCACAATTTCTTTATAAAGTGGTAAAATTGATGAATCTTTAACAGGTACTAAAATAATTTAATAATTAAAAATATATATTTTTTTAAAATATATATAATTTATTTTTAAACAGAAAATCATTTAATATACCATATATTATCCAATTCAGTAACAAAATTAATTCTTTTCTACATTGTGGAACATTGAACATGAGGCTAAAAATGTTATCTATTAAAATTCGAAGATCTCCAAATTCACCTAATATTTACATATTGTAATAAATTTAAGTTCACATGCATTAGTTTGAATAAATTTAAATCGTTTCCATAAATTTGATCCATATGAATATGTTGGATCATCAAGATCTTTAACATTTATTGCTTGCAAAAGAGAGACATTAGTATAATCTATTTCAGATACATATATAAGAGACAATATTAATCTATGAATATGAGATGCTGACATCATAATATGGGGCAATCTTTGCTCTCCAAGAAGTTTTAAATAACCAGCAATTTGATTTAAACAAGCTAATTGATCATTATCATCTATAAAATAAAAAATAATTTATTTAACTCAGAAATGAAATAATTAATATTTTTAAAAATATAAAATATGAAAAAATCATACCGGATTTTCTGATAATTCTAGGTAATTTTATAAGCAGATTATAGAAGTTTTCTTCTAATAATTCTATTAAAGATTTCATATTCTTATTTTGCATAAAATTTGTATTAATTATGCTTAATGTTTTCTCAGCTTTTTCACTAACTACAGCAAATTCATCTTCAGATAATGATATTAAATAATCTATTAATAACATAATATTTGGTTCATATTTCTGTTAAAACAAATTTATGCAATTTTTTTTAGAAAGTTTTTATTAAATAAAATGAGAATAAAGTAATATCTCACCTAGGACATGATGTGAGCAATAAATGAATAGTTTCTACTAATTCTTCTCTAACTTTATAATGAGGATGTTTTTTTAATATATGTAATTGTTGAATAAGTACATTAAGCTTTATTGCACAAGCATTAAACCATTCTTTATTTCTAGTTGCACTTTTAAGATGTTTTTCTAATTCACTGCGATCTTTCATATTTGGAAAATATTCTATTGGATTAATATTCTTTTCATTGTTCATTTTTATCAAATCATTTAATGATACTATCTCATCTTCTTGTATGTTATCTTTCATTACAAGTGATACTACTCTGCCCCAAGCTCTTAATGCCATCTAAAATTTAAATAAAATAAAATATAAATAAAATCTAATAATAGATAGAAGTTATAAATTATTTTATTACTTTTGTAAGTTTATGTCCTTGTGTTTCATTTCCTACAGCTATTTCTTGTAAACCACTAACAATGCCAGGTAAAAATAACATAATAATATCAGCTACTTGATTTTGCAATATAGCATCATATTTATTTGATTCATCATCAACTTGACATAATGTCATTACTGTTTCAATAGCTTTTAATCTAAAAATAAAATAATCTCAAAATAATCTCAAAATAATCATATATTTATGAAATTATTAAAAAGACAAAAATATTTTTATATATTTTTAATATTTACCTAAGATGATTTGATTTTTCAATTCTTCCTATTGTTATTGATAATAATATTCCTTGGCCTATCTTAGAAGCATTTTGTCTAAAATATATAATTTCTAAAACATCTGTGAAACAAGAATTTATCAAAACCTTAATGCATGAAAGTACTGCTTCTTTAAATTCTTCATGTTCTTTGATCACTATAAAAATCAAATATAAAAGAATATTTATATTAACTTAAATTTATATCAATTAAAATTATTTATTAAAATAAATTTATTATTATGAAATATAAATAATAAATCTATTTATAAAATAATTAAATAAATTTAATTATATATATTCACCCATGCTTGATTGTGTTTTGTCATAAATTTGTATTAAAAGACATGAATACAATTCATTAAAATATTTAATTTTTGATATCTTTGCTTTTGATATTATTATCTGTACTGTTTTTATTAATTCTTCTTTTACATTTTTACTACAGAATTATAAATATGAAAATCAATTATATTATATGATTATATAAATTATATGATTAATTAATTTTATAATAATATTAATTTTTATTTTATAGAATATAAAATAAATTACCTTAATTTATCATTTGATAAGTGTATAATAAAGGGAAATATAATATATTCAAATAAATCCGTAATAACTTTGTCGGAAATCTTTGGTAAAATATTAGCAATTTCACAAGCAGTTTTTATATTTGGATTTTTCATTAAAGAATCACAAAGTGGTTTTAATGTAATAAATGCTTCTTCTATTTGAAGACGTTCCATTTTATATTTAAGTTTAAAAAGAAAAATCACAACAAATTCTAATCAACAATATCGATATATACTCATGTTTGAATATTATTATGCGAACAAAATTGAATTATGTTAATATTTATTCACACAAATGTAAATATTTATAATGATGTTTAAAATAGTAATTTATATAGTACTAACTCAAAATCCATTATTCTTAAATTATTTTTAAACATAATCATACGTATTATCGCACATATTATTTGAAATGTATAAAATTTTATTGTCTTATTATTAATAAGTATTTTTTGGAAATTATAATATAATATTTAAAATATATAAAAAATTAATTATAAATTATAATGTAATTGATAACATAATTAAAATTTATAGAAAAAGCACAGATTAAATATAGAATAGATTTATTATTCAATATATTTTTGTATGATATTACTGTATAGTAATTTTCGTGGTAACCGTGGATCTATATCTGCTTTATTCAGATAAAGCAGTTGGATACATCGTTTGTATTTATCTTTGAATAATAATCATTTAATTTTCAAGAAAAGTTTAATAGTGAAAAAATTGTTATGTATGTTAATACGCTAAATATTTACAATGTAATTAATCCACAGTTAAATAAAGAAAAGAAATGTATAAGTTAAATATTTTATTGTCTTTTTACTATTTTGCAATTGTTACTGTTTTTGCTGTAAGTATTATTAAATTTATTTTTATTTTAATCTATTTTTCCATTATTTTTTATATTTTTATAATGTAAAAAATATTTTAAATCTAATGAATTATATATTTATTTGTAATTGTTATAATATAATTAAATAATTTTTATAATATAATATATATCATTTATCTCTATATATATAAAATTATAAATTTTCTTAAAATTTCTTGTAATTACATATTTCATTAAAAAATCAATAAATTTAAATATAAAAATTAAATATAGAAATTTTAATTTCTTTACTATGTTAATCATTTATGTATTTAAATTAATATATATATATATATGTTTTATATAGAATACATCAGCAGTAAATGATAATTTTTGCATAATTCGTGAACCTGTTTTGAATTTTTTTTCTTATAACTTTACAAATCTTATAAGTTCTACAAAAGATGTTATTTTAAATTTCTTCAATATAACTATACGATTACAACTATGTTCTCCATTAAGAGAAAAATGCAATGGAAAAGATGGATATGGAATTTGTTTATTAAAAAACAAAGAAGAAAAAGGAATAGGTTCTAATTTTATATATATATATATGTCTAATATATTAAAATTATATTAATTTTTCTTTAAAAAATAATTTTGTTTTATTACTTTAGGAAAAATGCCTCCAAGAGTAAATATAACTCAGGGAAGAATATCATTTATATTCACAGGTGATGATTGTACATCTAACTCAAAATATATTGTAAATATTATTATGAAATGTGATTATAAAGCTGAAAATTCTTATCCTGAGATATTTCCTGATGTATGTATATATGTATTAAGATTTTTGTTTAACTTTTAATGATAATATTTTTATTTTATTATTTATTAATATATTATAAAATATAGTAAAATATATTTTTTAAAATAAAATGAATTTTTAATTTTATTTTATTATCAATATTTTAGACATTAAAAACATGTAATATATTCATGATATGGAAAACTCATCTTGCTTGTGGACCTCGAAATAAAACAAATTGTACAGTAACAAATAATGGTTTGCATTATGATCTATCACCTTTAACAACTTATTCACAAAATTATATTATTTTAATGGATAATAAAACATCTTCAAAGATTATATTAAATGTTTGTCATACTGTAATATTTGAACATAATGCTCTATGTCAATTGACTTCAGGAGCCTGTTTACAAAATTTGTCACAAAATGGGTATTTAAAAATTATTTTATTTTAATAAAAACTATATTTATAATAATTAGCATGATTAAAATAGAAAATTAATAAACATATAGATATTATTAATAACATTTTATTATAGATATGTGAATTTAGGTGATGTTCAAAAGTCTCCAATTATAAGAGATGGAAAACTTATACTTGAATATCAAGATGGAGATTTGTGTAAAGTAAAAAATATTACAGTACCACATATTAAAACTACTATTTCTTTTATATGTGATTTTGAAGCTATGGTAATTATTATGCATATTATTTATTCTTATTTAATATTTAATATTTTTTATAAATTGTTATTTGATGTCGATTAGGATACATTTCCAGAATATATTGGAGGCAGTGAAGAATGTCATTATCAAATAATATGGAGAACTAGAGCAGCTTGCAGTATAGAATTTCTACGTAATCATAGTATAGCTAGTACTGGGAAATGTACAGTGAATAATCCTCTTACAAATTTTACGTATGATTTGAGAAAATTTTTTAATTATGTATGATTAAAGATAATATTCTGAGAATAAAGTTTTATTAATTATAATAAATATTTTATTTCAGATACGATTTGCGATCTTTAATGAATAAAAATTTTACAATAACAAAGAATGACATACAATATAATTTTAGAGTATGTGAATCACTTGTAGATAATTCATGTGTAACAGGAGCAGGTTATTTAATTACTTTATATTTAATTAATTTAATTAATTTCTATAAATGTATTTTTTATTTTTACATTTAGGAATTTGTCTTTTTAATACATCTAATATGGAAAAAGCTATATCAATGGGAAAAGCTAATACAAATTTAATATGGGAAGAAGGTGGACCATATTTAAATTACACAGATGGAGATTTATGTGAAAATGGACGACGACATTATACAATTATTGCATTTTTTTGTGGACCAGAAGGATCTCCAGATAAACCACTTATTATGGAACAAAATACTTGCCAATTAATTATACATTGGAACACTAATTTAGTTTGTGAGCAAAGGGTTAGAATATTATTTTTATATTTTTATATATATTTTTTTATAGTTATAGTTTATTACTATTTTGAATATTATTAATTTATTTATTATATTTGTTACTGTTATATATATTATATATATAATTTAATTGTTTAGATAAAATGTGCTACAGATGATAATGAAATAATTTAAGTTCATTGATAAAGTCTACTGATAATTATATTATAAAAGTAAATAAAACTGAATTTCATATAAATATATGTAGACCACTAGTTCCTATGTCTGGTTTAACATGTACACATGGCAGTGCAATTTGCAAAACTTCATTAAATTCGAATAATGAATATATAAATGAAACTGTAAGTAAATATTATTGTACATATATTTAAATTAATTTTTTTTAATTTAACAAAATTATTATTAATATTTAAATTTTTCTGAATATATATATATATATATATATATAATATTTTGCAATGAAAGATAATATATACAACATTTATTTAAATTAATTGTTTTTGATGAATAAAATAATTGTATTTGTTGGTAGAGTTTAGGATTGTCAAAAGAAAGCCCTATGTTAAATAAAAATCATGAAACTGTATTACATTATGTCGATGGTTCAGTATGTCCTGAAAATTCAAAAAAATTAATTTCTTCAAATTTTACGTTTCCATGTTATAATAATGATAAGGTAATCAATCAATATTTATTAGATTATAGAAAAATACTGATGATTTTAAAGAAGAATATTATAATTGTGTAATTATTTTGAAACTGATTTTTTAGGGACTTCCAGAATTTAAGAAATATGAAGATTGCACTTATATTTTTGAATGGAAAACAAGTATAACATGTGGAGCTGCAATGGGAAATTGGATCTCTCCTTGCACTGTAAAAGATCAATTATTTTCACACGAATACAACTTATCTTTATTACATAAAAATGAAAAAGTATATTATGTAAGTTTATTAAAAAATTTCTAATAATTTTTTCATAAATTAATTTAAACATTTTTTATTTTAAAAATGAAACTATAATAATGAATAAATCATTTACATTGTAAATAATCATTAATATTATAAATTAAATTATAATTTAAATAATAATATAATATCAATATGAAATAATGTAATATATGTGCTAATTTTTTAAAATTGTATTATAAATTTATAGGTAAAGAATAAACAAGGAAAAGAATATAGTATAAATATATGTGGCGGAGAAAAAGTCTGTGATAGTTCTGCTGTATGTCAAGGAAATAATGAATATGGATCATTAGCAAATGTAATTTTTGATTATGGCAGAAATGTTATAAAACTTCAATACTCTAATGGTAGTAAATGTGTAAATGGTAAGTATACAATATATATTTATTCAATAAATTATGAATTAGATTCATGTTATTATATTATCTTCATTTTTTTTTTAATCAGGTTTTTATACATCTGAAATATGGTTTATATGTAACAAATATATAGGAATTGGCACACCAAAATTATTGTGGGTAAGTAATAATTTTTATTTCAATAATTAATAATTTCATCTATTTATTATTATTTATCATTCCTGCTTGAATATATTACATTATAAAAGTATTACATTATAAATGTTATTAATCTTATATAATGAGTAAAAAAAAATAATCTAATATTTGTATAATTAAAATATATTAAATCTATCTTAAATCTATCTATATAAATTTTCTTATATTCTTAAATTTTTTTAATTTTGCTTGAAAAAAAAAAGAAAAGATTAAGTATATGAAAAGAAAAAGGTAATTTTAATTATATATGTAGTTATATTTAAATAATTTTTTATATAAAACTAAAAATATAATATAATTAATAATTAAAAATAGTATACAATTATGCCACTTTTAAATATATTTGTAAAAGATTATATTAATATTTCAGGTACTCATTTAGTAATAATTATATTAATATTATATAGTAAAAATTCATTAAAAGTCATTATTAAATTAACAATTTGTAATGAGATTCATTATTTATTTTTGTAATCAAAAATTTAAATTAGTATCAATTAGTATTATGGTTCTTTATTGAAATATGAACAATTTATTTATGATTTTTTAATAAAAAATTATTGTGCTCATAAAATTGAGCAAACAAAATAATAATGAAAATATAATATATATATATTCATATGTCATTCTAAGTTTCCATAGAAAATTAATATAAATGATAACAAAAATTGATTTATGTTCCTATCAAGTTTGATTTTATGTATATATAAATTAAATTTCCTATACTATGCATTATTTTGGATCTTATAAATACTAAATACACTGATTATTTACAAATATTAAATGAAAGTTAATTATAATTTTCATGCATAAATAATGAATATGTATATATAAAATACAAATTGTATTTATGATATACATAAAAAAAATTTTATCTTAAAAATAATTTTAAAAATATCTTCTAAATATAATTTTAAAATGAATATTAATTTTCTGTTTATATGATAATTATCTACTTCAGTAATAATTCAATAATGAGAACATATTAGAAGCGAAATCTATTCAAAATGTTAAAATTCTTATAAAAACACTTATTCACAATAATCTCTATTTTTTAAAATTAACATTAAGTTTGTTCAGTCAGTAAATGTAATTTGTCTTTAATCTACTTATATTGATATTTAGAAATTCATGAAACAAATTTATAAGTCTATAAATAAAATAATTAAATGATACAGAATTTTGAATTATTATTGATATTCAATCAGACGTTTAGATTAGAAAATTGAATGATGAAAATTTCGAAATTGAAGTTATTTAAACAAATTAATTGACTTACAATTTAATCAACTAAAATATTTTTTATAATTTTAATATATCTAAAATGACTTATAAATATGTTTATGCATGCTATTATATTACTTAGCATGAATTTTTACTTAAAAAAATTATTAATAAATTCATTATCACCATTAAATACATATAATAAATATTCGCTATGAGACTCTGTGTAAAAATTACAGTTTTTCATTCTTTGATCATATAAATAGAAATAATTTACTTTGAATATCTTAATCATAAATGCATATATAATATTTAGTTTGTCTATTTTTTTTTACTATATAAGTTCCAGAGTGAACGAATTGTAATAATTGGTTTTTATGCTGTGATAATGAATGTGTTAATTTCGAATGATTTTAATAAAATTATAAATAAATTCATTTTTTAATGTAAAATGAGTACTTCAAAACTTATTTAAAACAAAACATTCTTCAAATGTTTTGTGTGTGTGTATATAT